TGAATCTTTCCCAGTACTATCTAGAGGGGTTAGAATCTGGAACTGTGCTGTACCACTGGGTTATAGCTCTTTTCCGCACCTTAATTATCCTTTACAGTGCTTTGCATTAACCTTTGACGGCCATCAAATTGGAGAAGGCTGTTCTAGATCCTGCAACTTTGAAGTACAATATTCTTTGCTTCCATAATTGTGTGTCTTGGCCAGTCTGAAATACAGGATCAGGTAGTACATGACAAAAGTTACAGTGCCATGAATTAGCAATTCCTCACCTCAACCAATCTGCAGAAGGATATTTAAAATGGGGAGGAATTATGCCTGACGTGCAAAGAACAGAGAAATGGCAGCATTGTTTCACCTTATATTCACTCCAATCTTTCCTGATTCTAGGATTCTGACCAAACAGTCCAGCGTTTGGTAGTTCCATAGCATTCACAGCACTTGTTTCTGAAACCTCCCCATTGCTTTGTCTTCTGGCTGTAGAAAACCAGGGATCTTACCGTCCAGCTGAAAGCAGGTTGAAAGCAATTGCTGTTCCAATCACTTCCTGCATATCAGAGCCAATTATAGCAATTTCGATCATAATCCAGAGCAGCACACGTGGGGCCTATAGAGGAAAGGACAACAGTTGGGCTATTAGAAGATACAAAGGTAAAATTTATGCTCTAAGATGTCTCATGCCTCTTCCAAATTTTGGCTATAACATATTAGGAACTCAGTGATCATCATTCACACATGTCACTAATCTAGGGATGGGATATAGTTGCAGTGACCATACGTATTATAAAGGACAGTCCTTTTTTCGGAGAGCTGTCCTTTTGATTTATTCTACAAAAACTCACTTCTTTATTTTGGATATATAATCTTTACTATACAATTGATACCAGCTGATAAAAAAGTATTTCATATTAATGTAAAAATATGGAAAATTGAACTGACCTTTAAAAATAAAACTACATATACAGTACTGTTTGATGTTATAGATTTTTTTTATTAAAAGTTGTTTTTGTATAGTTTTTCTTAGATTTGCTCTTGAATTTTCCTTTGTAAACTAACAATTAAATATTTTTATCCTTATGAACCTCTTTCATATCTGTCCCTTTTTCAGGTTTGTCCTTTAATTTTTCCCCCCAAGAAAGTATGGTTCACTATAGCTATATTTAAACATCAGGATCTACAGCTGATCACCTGACTTTCTTGAGCTTCAGGAGGCCTGTTTTGATAACTAGGCATCACTTGAAAGTTTGTGGCCAAGTACTTCTGACTCATTTTTTACTTTGCTTGTGTGTGTTGCGTGTTAAGAGTAGGCATGTGAGTGGGAAGCCTCCTAAGGGTCCCATCCTACCCTAAAATCAGAGAAAATGCCATACTATTCTTAGACACATTTAACATACTTCCAGAAGATCACTACATGTAGATACATGCTCAGAAATAGCCTGAGATGGGTTGGGCCAAAAGACTTCCAAAGTTCCTTTCAACTATTCTCATTCTCATTCTCATTCTCATTCTCGTTCTCGTTCTCGTTCTTGTTCTCGTTCTCATTCTCATTCTTCTTGGGTTTAAACCGTCTCCACGCAGGCCTATTACTTGGGCCAATTTAATGGTGCAAAATCATCATGAAGGGTGACCTAAATCTTCTCCAATTGTCCACTGCCCATTAAAGCGACTGTGGTTGCCTTTCTTCTGGCTGCTGATGCTGCTGGGGAGGAAATGCAGCCAAAGGAATCCACCAATTGCTGCCCTTAAATTCTCACACATTAAAGCTGAAAAGAACAGCTCTATGTATTGACCTTCTTAATGAAGCATAAAACAGCTAGGTTGCGGGAGCAGTGCCAATGATGTTGGCGTCCTTCTTGGCCAACTCAAAGCCTGGAGGAATCCACGCTATTGCAGCAATAAAGGAAGTGTCATAAGATTAGTTTGTCATCTGTCATCATGCCTGAGCAACTCAGATCAGGCAACAGTTGTCCAGAACTTAGTCATCTCCCTTCTTAACAATTACAGTATTCTTTGGAAAAAAAATAAAAATGTCTTGAACTGGCAATTAGTGCAAAAAAAAAAAAAAAAAGGCAGATAGGCTGATCCGAAACACAACACAACAACAACAACAACAACAACAACAACAACAACAACAACAACAAAAAGGGCCCAGGGATCACAGGATGCCCATGGACAAAGATCTGAGCAATTGCCAGTTATGGTGCTAATCCTGAAGCCTTAAACCAGGGGTCTCCAACCTTGGCAACTTTAAGACTTGTTGAGTTCCTCAGCCAGCTTGCCTAAACCATTAAGGCCTGGTCAACTGAGGGAACAACTCTCAATACAATCTGTAGGAAAGACCCTTCCGAAAATGCTCCCGTTCTCATATGGGGGAGGAACTGTTTTTTTCATCATTCCCAGCTACAACTTGCATTTCCTTGGAAGTTGCATTTGAATCTCACTTCCTCTGCTTTTTAGAAAAGGGCCAACATCTTTACAAGATTAAGAGTGAATGATTGTTATTTTTTTACTGTGAATCTTCTTTATAATATGTATTTACTGAGTGTGGTTTCAAACAGAAAGGCAATGTATAAATCAAGTAAATATTTTTAAAAATGCTGTCTGTAAACCATAATTTATATATTAACATTCTGCATAAAACAAGCAATAATCCATGATCACAAACAACTGTGACTTAATCTGGCAAACACATGAAATCAAATCATGCTTGATTTATCCATAGTTTATTGTGTAACCCACAATTTTTTGGTTCATACAACAATCAAACTGCATTGTGGCTAGGTGCCAAGTGCAAAGCCAGAGAAAGAAAGGCAGATGGAGGTCAATTTAGTTCCATTTCTGTTTCCTTTCTCTTTCTCATTCACAACAGCGCCTGCACTTTCTGAGGTTGCTGAAAAAGATTGGTCTGGGTGAGAAGTTGCTGGTTACCTTTTACTGTTCTACCATCAAGAGCATTTTGGCATGCTGTGTAATGGTACTGGATGCTGGATGCTCTGTAGTGGATAAGAAGATGCTCCAGAGAGTTATAAACACAGCACAAAAAATCATTGGTTGCTCTCTTTCTTCTTTGGAAGAGATTGTGAAGACCAGACTCCTCTCTAGAGCACTAAAAATCTCCACAGACCATTCTCATCCTGGTCATTCATATTTCGAATTGTTACCATCAGGGAGACACTATAGGTGTCTTAAAATGAGGACTAATAAACTAAGAAACAGATTATTTTCCAAGGCAATAATTGTCTTGAATCAAACAGTACATTTGTGATTTAGTTCTGTGTACAAAGTTGCATTTTTAAACTATCTAACTTAATATATGTTTTAAATAGGTTTTAGACTAGGTTTTTAATTATTATTAAAAACTAATAATTATTATTATTACTAATAATTATTAAAATTATTATTATTATTATTACTTTAATTATTTTAATTTTTAAACACTGTGTAGTGTGATTGTGATGTGGTGTTTGGGGCACTGTGCTGGAGTAGCTTTCAAATTTCATTGTATTTTGAATGCAATGACAATAAAGGTATTCTATTATTCTATTCTATTTGTAATTAACACTGTGCCACTGCAACCACTGAATAAACCAGAATTTGGAGCCAATGTTGCTTTATTGGACTGCTACACATTCATACTCACCTTGGGATAATAGTGATAACATATCTCTCCTAAGTCCTTGCCTGTAACTACCCCAAGCCGGATAGCCAGCCTTTGGCAAAGCAGACCCAAAATTGTGCTCCAAAGCAGGACCCAGAGCAGCTGTGTAGGAAGCAAAGGCACATGGTCATCAAGCACATAGGAGGCTCTGTACCAATACAACAACAACTAAACAGGACTGAGATCCACATAGCTTTAGGATATTGGGAGAGAATCTCAGAAACACATGTCCATACTGAGTCCACCAAGAGCAACCTTTGATGAGATGGGCAGCTTTACAAATACGATAAAGAAATAAATAAATGCAGCATGGAGGGTCAGAATGAATGGGGACAATTTTATAAAGTCCCTGTGAATCTAGAGGCTGAGCAATGAGAACTGGAAGTATGCAGGAATTCTCCTGTTTCCAGCCTTGGGATGGGCTTCAGTAACTGGGAAAGATGAATAAGAATGCATATTTGAATTAATTTCAAAGTAAGTCATTGCAGCAGGCTACTTGTTTGGTGGGCCTCTCCTCCATTTCCTCACATACTCACTTGGAAGCCAGCGACAGCGCCACATTGTAAGTCTGACTCAATATTTCCTGGATCCAGGTAGGCAATACTCATGAGGAATCCTGGCCCGGTGAAAGCCCAAAGCTTTCTGAAACTGAAACCGTACTGGAGAACAAAGATATGGAAAATTTAACTGAAGAGCTAGAGAAGAAAAATCATAGTAACCTCATTCATACTTGGATAGCTTAATGATTAATCTAATGAATCAGAACTACAAGATCATTCTTCTTGGGTTGGGGAACACTGCCTTAGAACAGGGGTCTTCCAACTTGACAGCTTTAAGGCTTATGGACTTCAACTCCCAGAATCCCTCCTCCAGTCACGTTAGCTCAGGAATTCTGGGAGTTGAAGTCCACAAGTCTTAAACTTGCCAAGTTGGAAGATCTTTGCCTTAGAAAAACCTGACATAAGACATACCACTTTGATCCCAATGAAAGAATTTGCTCCTCTCATGCAGATCAATGCTATTTGTGTGTGTGTATGTGTGTCTCTGTATATATCCGTCTGTCTATCTGTAGGCATGTATCCTGCTTGTAAACTGCTGCTAACCTTTTTTTTGGGCCCAGGGTGGGCAGCTGTGGTTTGGAAGCTGTACATGGTCTTGGCCACAACAGCATGGCCCATGAAGAGTCAACATCTCATACTGGCCAGCTTAATCAACAGGCTAGTGGGAAAGGAAGTTTCATGGCTCCTGCCAACCAGATGCTTCCATAGTGACAGCAGAAGCAAGGGAGGGGATGTGGGGACTCAGAAATTGGCAGAAGGGGTGAGGCAGGGATCTATTCCCTCCAGGGAGCAGCTGCCTGTCCTGCAAAACTATCCGGGCAGCATTGTTTTTTCCTGAAGCAGCATCGGAGCCAATAATTGATTGACTCCACCTGCAAAGACCAGCAACTCAGGGACATAGCCATGATCTTGGATTGGTTCAACCCTTGCAAATGAAAATTGCCTTGGCCCTCTGTCTAGGCCATGAACTGTTTACATCTCCTATACTTTCCAGTAAGCTCCCTATTTCCCCATGTTTCAAACAAAGCTTACATTTTCCCTAGTTCCTCACAACCGAGGGATTATGTTAATTCTATGTAAAAAAAATCATTTTCAGTTAAGCTCCATTCCTGGAGACTGTGCATATATAAAAATGCAGTCCTTCATTTAATAACCATTTGAAGTTACAACCTCACTGAAAAAAATGACCGGTCCTCGCACTTATAACTGTTGCAACATCCTGAGAGTCACCTGGTTCATTAACATGCTGTGTGAGCCTAGCTGGTCATTTCCAAAAGGGCTTTTCAGTCAAGAGTAAAACCCCAGGACAACAATCAATGTGGAAACTCGTAGCCGAAGGCTTACCCCACCAACATCTGGAATAGCGATCTTCTCATCCAAGTAGGTTTGATCCTCCTGTTCCTCCTGGTGATCTTGTAGCTTTGGTGACTCGGTAGCACCATACTGAGTTTTCCTTCTAATTTTGTTCCCTAGGAAAGTTCAAAAGCAAGGAATGCTCAATAGAAAGAAGCACAAATGAATGGAACCCTAAAAAATATTCTGTACTGTAAGGATTGAAGCCTACGGAGATTCTCAGACATCTAGGTCACTGTTGTTCCAATGTTGCTTTTTTTCAAAAACTTTGTTTTTTTCCTTGAAGATGTTTCGCTTCTCATCCAAGACACTTCTTCAGTTCTGACTGTAGTTTGGGATAATAACTGAAGCGATATCATTATGATTTCTGCTACAATCACAGTGCCTAGCATTTTCTTGTAGTATGGACATTCCATCTGGCCCCAGTTTTGAGCTCTTCTATGGGAATGCTTTTGATACAAGATGCAACTTCGATACCTTGCCACTATTTAAAATCTCGACAGCAGCGGCCAGTAATGGGGTGGGGTGGGGGGAACTTGATGTGTTATTAAACAAACACCATCATACCACCACCCCAGATCAAAACATAGGCACACCAAACTCTTTTCCTAGACTCAGTTATAATTAGAAAAATGAAACTAATTGCATAGTAAAAGGCATGCCTCTAGGTAGCTATTGCTTCCTGGCTTCCAGGAAAATGAGCAACATTTTGTCAACGCCTACTTCATCTTGAGAAAAAAGATGAAATACGCTCAACGAATATAAATGCATTTTTACATCAGTTCTAAGAAATAATATCCATACTTTACCCTGTTCCTGCATATCTCTTCCTACTTAGTTCATGCACCTTCCGAGTAACTTTACAACCATGTGATTTATAAGCAAAATGTCTTTTTGATGAGTCTCACAATCTGGAAAAACCTGCTTGGTAAACCCATGCTGACACCTCCTAACCAATGAAACCTTGTTTGCATATTTAGGTGGGGATAGTTCATGGCAAGTTCTGAAAATATGCTGACCATAAGGAAGTTAATGTAAAACTCCTGTGCTGGATATCTGCATACAGTGTGTTCCACTGCTTACAGATATTCTGAGGCAGTTATCAAGAGACATATTTAAAATAACTATGGTATGTGGGATTTTCTGTGTTTCAAAGGATGTAATAATGTATCGGCAAACGAGTCAGATAAAGAAATGTTATTTATTTGCAGATGCAAGCAAACCATTCTTAAGAAAACTTGGGCAACATACTTTTTTTCAAGCTCTAAAAATTACAGAATCTATTTTCCAGCATCCTATCTGTTCATTGTACTTTTACTCACATTTAAAGATACTTCTTTTGTTACATAACTTTTGGAGATTAAAAACATAGATACTTTGGAGATTAAAAACACTATTGTAAAAACACAATATTTATTTTCATTTACCTAAAGAAAACCATCTATTCCAAAAATAAATAGCAACGGGCTCTTACATACTCTACTTATGAAGCACAAGGTGTGAATTCTCAGTCTAATATAAGCTCTGTCTTGGCATAGCCTACCAAATAAAAATAATGCTAGGTAGTATGACCAAGACATACATGTATGCATATTCCTTGTGCCTTCTTTAAGGAACCATTAAACAGGTTTTATAGCACACCCTCCAACCTCAGCACAAAGCTCAATGTGAACACCATTAAAAATGAGATTGTTACCCATGAACTGTTAAGCAATATAATGGATAATTAAACAACCATAGGTGCAATATAGCAGATAAAATAATTTCAAAATGAGGACTATTATTTTGTGTCCAGCTTCCATCTACATGTTGGAGCATGGCAAGTATATCACCTTATGCTCCCGCTGCATAAAGTTCTTCCTGGTATTTGCTGTTCTACATTTGCTGTACTGATCTGGTACTGTGGCGATTGTTTTCCAGGCTTCTCCCTTCAAAGGCTAGTGTTTTTTAAGACCAAGCTTTCTTTCTGTGTGCGTGCACATGGGGCATGCGTGCGCGCACACACATCCACACACACATCCAGGATGAATGGGAGGAATATTTTACAACTTGACTGCCAACCCACACAGATAAAGGTGGATGGGTAGGAACAATTAAGACTTAACTGCTTCTCTCTTGGGAAGGAGATGGTTAATTCACAAAGTTTGGAAGTTGTGTGCATAGTCCCTTGAATGATTAATTGGTTTGGAGCAGAAAGGAAGAGCGCCAATTGGTTGGTATTCTTTGTATCCAAAACAAACCGTCACATTACACTTAAAATCTATGCTGGAAAGGTTTCATTTTTGGTGAGATTCATCATCTTACAAAATATAAGCAGTCTGCTTTCCTGGTTTTTTTTTTTTTTTCTAAAAAGCAGTCTGCTTCCCTTATTTTTTAAAAAAGCCCATCTATTGTGTTTCACATTTGGTGGGTCTTCAATATCTGTAATTGTTGGAAGATGGTTCAGAGGCATTGTGATGCAATGGTTAAGTTACTGGTGAAGGACTGGGTTCAAGTCCAACTTCAGTGGCAGAAATTCATTGGGGGACCCTGAGTCATTTTTTTCCTGGTCAACCCAATTTCCCACTCAATGTTGCTATGGCGAAAATTGATGGAATGATTGTAATCGGTGGTGGGATTCAAACTTTTTTACTACCGGTTCTGGGGGTGTGGCTTGGTGGGCGTGGCAAGGGAAGGATACTGTAAAATCTCCAGTCAGAGGAGGCATTTGCCGCTTCTCCAAACCACTCAATATTTCCGCTACCAGTTCTCCAGAACTGGTCAGAACCTGCTAAATACCACCTCTGATTGTAATATATATGTCCTCAAAATCCTGAGGAAAAACAGAATATCAATCTAGACTATGAACGCTTTGGCTGCTTCTTATTAGTCACATCAGCAGGCAGAATTATACGTCTGGGTGCTGGAGTGAACTATCCTAAACAGGCTTGGTTCTGGGAGAAGGAAGGCAGATTTGCTTGATGGGAAATAAAAATCAAGTTACATTCAGATTGCTCTAGAGCAGGCATGTCCAACCCATCACCCATGAGCCATATGAGGCCCTGGACAACTGGTAATGCGGCCCCACAAGATCGTAAACTTTTAACATTATTATGTGATTTTATATTCATTAACTATACTATATATTTTGTTCGTGGACCAAGACAATTCCTCTTTACTCCATGCAGCCCAGGTTGGACGACCAGGCTCTAGAGAGCTGTATTTACATATCCATGCTTGTTTGCTGTTGCATAATAGACAAGAGTGCTAATCACTGACAGAGTCATGCTGACATCTTGATAGCCTTGTCTACAGCATGCCAAAAATGGTTTGGTAACACAAGCCTTGTCAATGGTCTTGATCTTGACTTCAGACTACAGTTTGCAGAATCACTTCCTTCTGTCCAGGGGTGGGATTCAATTTTTTTTAACAACCGGTTCTGTGGGCATGGCTAGGTGGGCATGGCCATGTGACTGGGTAGGTGTGGCTTTTTTCTTTTTTTTCTTTTCTTTTTTTACAGCACACACACACACACACACACACACACACATCCCGTTTGTGGTTTTTTTTTTTGCCTCCTGGGCCTCAGGGAAGCCTCCGGGAGGGGGGCATTTTTGCTCCCAGAAAGCTTTCCTGGGTCCCAGGAAGGCAAAAAACAGAGCACAAGGTGGGGTGCAGCTCCCCCCTGCACTCCGTTTTTGGGCCTCCTAGACCTCAGGGAACCCTCCTGGCAGTGGTGGGATTCAAATTTTTTTACTACTGGTTCTGTGGCCGTGGCTTGGTGGGCGTGGCAGGGGAAGAATACTGTAAAACCCCATTCCCTCCCCACCCCACTAACCTGCTTTCCAGCTCTATTCTCCTGTGCAGGGCAACAAAAGAAGACCCAGCCGATCAGCTGGGACTCGGGAGGCAGAGAATAGATGGGGGCGGGGCCAGTCAGAGGTGGTATTTGCCAGTTCTCTGAACTACTCAAAATTTCCACTACCGATTCTCCAGAAATGGTCAGAACCTGCTGAATACCCCCTCTGCCTCCTGGGTTAAGCAGTAAGACAGCAAGAGGGTTCCTGGCTCAGCCGATCATTGGAACAGCTGATCGTTGGGAGAGGGGGAAAAGAAATATCTTAAGGAATGAGTGGGTGGGGGAGAATGCAGTCAGCGATGTTGGGCGTGCGCCATAGGCATGATTTGCCAGTCCGCCGAACTGGGCAGAATCATGACAACCAGTTCTATAGAACTGGTCCGAACTGGTAGAATCCCACTCCGGCTTCTGTCCCATCAAACAAACCGGAGAAGATGGGAGAAAGTTAGAGCAAAGCAGTGTTACACCATATAGTCCTAACATTGCTCTAACAAGACTTCAGGCCTGCTAAGTGAGGAAAGGCCCTCCCTCTCTTTGATGAATTAGAACCAGAGCCTTTGGTCCCCTTTCAGGGAGTGATGAGAGCTAGTTGACTGCAACTCAATTTTGTGGCTGTGAGATCTATGAGCATGGACTTATCTTCAAACTTCCTACTTATCCGCTAAGTTTTTCAGTGAAATTGTTGGATATAATTTTTTTGGGGGGGGGGGGGGTGAAATCACTGTCGGGGTGAGAAGTTCCGTGCCACACAATAATGGTTTCAATTTGGTTCCTGGGCTTGGAACTTCAGAGATTAAAAAGAGAAGTCCTTCTACTGCCACCTGCTGGTTTGAGCATGAAAAGATACATCGTGTTAATCTATTGCGTTAACCCAGTATGACTTAAGAAGAAGGGTAAACTTAGTCACTGGCCACAATATTTGGAGGTGCTGCCTTGGTTTAACTGAACTGTAATTCTTAAAACAACAGTTCAAGTGGTGCAACTTCCCATCTCCACTAGGGTGAAGCATTGGACTTGTATGAAAGGCATGGGGTTTTGACAGAAAGAAAAGGGGACGATCCGTCTCTTCCACCCTATAATTCAGCAAAGGATTTTGAGTATGTGGTCCTCTTTTCTTCTATTAGGAAACAAAGGAAACACACTGGAATGGAATCTGTTAGATCTGGGGTGGATCGGTTCGAAGGAGACGCGAGGCCATTCTAGTGAGTTCAGCTCTTTATTCAGGTTAAGAACAGTCTGAAGAAACACAAGCCGCGGCAGCCTTCATATAGGGCTGGCTCGCGGCTGGGTGGCCAATGGCAGCGCTTTGAATCTCCCGCGATCGGCACAGCCAATCAGGTCGCTGTCCGTCCGGACCAATCAGGTGCCAGGGTTTGGAGTATGCTAATATAGTACACCCCTCCCCTCTTGGTTTCGTCTGGCGTGCGTCGTGACGTAGTCGCGCAAGTAGGCGGGGCTTCGTACCTGTCTAGTAGACCTGCGCGGTTCAGTTCTCGTGTGGTCGTCGACCGGTTCGGATGTCTTCTCTGTTGCTCCGGTTCCCAGGGATGGAACCGCCTGGAAGGTTGAGCTGGGCCTTTCTTGGTAGCTTCCTCCTGGTCTACCCGGGCTGGTTGAGCTGCCGCTGCTGTTGTTCCCATCGGGTCTTTCCGGGCTGGTTGAGCTGGCTTGACTGCTCCTTCCCGGTGAAGATTCTGGGTTTTCCTGTTCTGTTGGTCCTGCGTCTACTGGTGAGTAGGAACGGGTTATTTGTGGTCTATTTATTCTGGGTGGGGGGTGTTCAGCTTGCGCTAGGGGGGTCCCTCCGGTTCTTTCTTTATTGCTTCCCGTTTCCCCCCCCCTTCTAGTTTCTTGCTCGGGAGTCTGGTTGTTGGTTATTCTAGACCTTAGCTGGTTAATGTGCCGTTTCCAGTTTTTCCCGTCGCTTGTCTCTAGCCGGTACGATAAGGGGCCGGTTATTTGGGTGATCATTGCTGGTATCCAGAGTGGTTCCCCTGAAAGGTTTTTCGCGTATACTGCGTCCCCTATGTTAAATTTTCTGTG